CCCCCCCGACCATATATAAAATTAGTTAGTTTTTTAATTGATATTCTTTTCATTTTCACTTGCCTTTCTTGGATTTTTATTGCCTTTTCATTTCGGTGCAAGTTTACCTCCTTTTCTGTGAGATCCTGTAGTATTAGCATGTTGGATTGTGATTTCACGGGCTTGCAATTCGGTGTCTTATCTATCTGTGAACCAGAGTTCCCGGTAGAACTTCAAGATATTTGAAATAAGTGTAGTTCTGAGCTTGGTACTTACGTTAAGACCGAGAGGGACTTCTACTTTTTTCTTAAAACATGCGTAATCTGTAGTTCAGAACATCTTTATCAGCATCTTTGTCAGATGTGTCTGAGGTCTAGACTAATTTTTTAACCATTTGCCATTACACTAGATGCATTATTAGGTTAATGATAATGATGGATTTTGATCTTTCTCCTATGCCTCTTTTCTGATGTGCTTGTCGTACTGATGTTCCATTTTGTTGTAAAATTCAACATCTAACAATAGAAGACATGTTTTGAGAGCGTAAGCTATCCTGAATGGATGTTGCCTTATTTCTTCTTCTGTGACCAAGGCATGGACACCATGTCATATCCACATTTTGTTATCACATATTTTTGAATTGATATTTGCTAATTAATGCTTTGTCTGTCATTGCACCTTGTCCGTCTTTCTTCTTCTATGACCAAGGCTTGCATGTTTATAAGAACTATTACATTTTCCTTTTGAATTTTCTGGCTGTCTTTGGTAATTTCATATTATATTGATGTCTTGATCTTTTTATAGCTTGATTTCCCAGAAGATGTTATTCTGCCGAAATCATTGTAGCATTTGATATCCACGTACATCTTTTTGGCCTGTAGGAAGGAGATACTGATTCCATCTTCACACCTGAGGCGGAATCCCAGGACTTTCTTCAGACAATTGGAAGTGCTAATGGTTCTACGAGGGAACAAATACTAATGCAGTTAGATGCTGCATCTGATAGACGACTGCCATCACACTTTTTTGATAAATCTCCTGTTGGCACCAATGTTATGGCTTCTGGTGATAGCACTGGTGAGGGGATTATATTGGATAAGATGAATGGCCCTAAAGATCAACTGAAATTCAGAATGAATTCAGATAAAGAAGCTTCTTTGGAGGAAAATCTGGGCAACAGAGACGTAGACACGGAGAGCAGCAGTTGGCTTTTGAAACACAGTGAACATCTGCACGATGATTCTAAATACGTGGAGCCGAAAACAATTTATACTGGCACCAGTCGAGCAGTGCTCAGGAACGATAGTGCTGATGTAGTGCTTGCCAAGGTAATTATAGACAGACAAAAGAATACTGATTTCGGTGGCTTGGATACATGTGATGTTCAAACTAGTTCTAGTATTGATGGTTTTGCATCTCTAATAAATCGCGTGGATTGTGGCTTCTCTGTACAGGAGAATGGATATGGTGAAGGTTCCAATGAGAGTGTCATTCCTGAAAGGTACTTGTTCCCTGTTGATCCACACAGTATGAATGGCTTGGGTCTCGTTAATAAATCCATGCCCTGGAAAATTCATCCAGAAGATGATAAAGTACCGGACCTTGAGCTTGCACTAGGAGCTGAAAGAAAACCATTGCCTCAGGGCATACCACCCTTTTTGGTTGGGAAAGTGGAGAAGAAGATAAAGGAGGAGCATCATCTCCTCAAGGCTGCAAGCAAGGCAGATGATGATGCGTCAGCATCTCTCTCCCTCTCTCTTTCTTTCTCGTCATGATATTATTATCATTATA